GAAGGTGTTTGGATCGGCGCCGACGATGCCAAACGCGACATAAACATTTAAGTGAAAAAAGAAATTAAAATACTTGGATTAACTATTTGTAACAACACACTCTCACTCCATAAACGTCCAGGAGCGACCCTTGGTCAGGGTCCCGAGGCGTGTAGTTGGAACGCTCCTAGGCTCCTTCAGCTTCATAAAGGGACGCAAAGAGCTTTCAACTGATTGCAATGTATTCCCATCTGCGCCGGGATTTGACGCTCATGGAAGCACCGCATTCGTTTGTGTCGGCGGGTGTTAAAGGCAATGTGAGCGTCCATTCCCATTGGATAACGGAGAATTGTACACCCGGAAGTAACTATTCTCCTTACTGTCGATTGATTTGACAGAGATATCTGCACTACTCATCAACTCAAAAACACCAGATTATCCTGTTAATTACACAACATTGATTGGTTTAAATTGTGTGCAATGCTTTTGTATTTTCCCCCTTCGATTCGGAGAAACAAATATTTTTTCGGAGTTTAGGATGGCAGAAGACACTACACTACCCAGAATCCCCAGCTATCGTTTAGGACTACACCATGTGCTCTGTTTGACAAACCCCTCGATTAGTTCTCAAGCTCAAGGCTTCCTCTCTTGCCGGTTATACCACAAGGTGAGTTCCTTTTTATTTCCTGTGGAGTGATACACCTACTCTAAACAAAGTTGTATTCTCACTGCTTTCTAAAACACTCTTTTCTGGACTGTTGCACATCGGCTCAAGCGTGAATGTTTTTGCAGGAGTGTAATTAGTAGTCAAGTATGCAAGCTTTTTAGAAGTAGTGAGCACCCAATGAATAGATGAGACTTTGATTATAATGCACGAGTTGTGTGAAGCTTATAAATCAATGTTTGTCTTCAGTTTTGTCTTTTGTTAAACGCAGCCCCCCATTCACATCCATTTTACCGGACTTTTTTCTATTGATATACAAATGCTCCTTTCCATTTAAAGTATTCCTTTAAGCATCGTGCATTTCATCAGTTATCTATCTGAGTAACAGTGAAGCAGGGCATCACAGTGTTTGAAGGATCAGTGAGGTAAAGGGTTAGGGTTAGAGAGAAACTAAGAATAAAAACTCATCAATGATTTGATCCTTTATTTTAAACGTCAGGCCGCCAACATGGCCACAAACCCCATCTACAAACAGAGGCTCTTTCCTAATTACCTGACTGCGTTACTTGGCTCTACCCAATACGTTTATATCATTTGACTTTAAACCACACTTAAAGGAATAATATAGTAGTAGTATTAAAGTATACACCACTGCATATGCACATGTCTACAGTATAGCAACGAATACATGTTTTAAATAAATAAACATTAAAATGTGAAAGACTCTCCTTCAAAGGAATTTTAATGAATATTTAAAACTTACACAAAATCAGATTCTTGTAAAAATGTGAGTATATGCATTGTTCCATCTGTCAAGCTCTTAGCTTGAGATGTTCAGTTAGCATGTATGCTAACTGAACATGCTCAGTTAGCATGTATATATATATTCCTTTAAATGGAATATTAAATACAAATTAGCAAAATAAACACAATTTACACTGCGCTAAACAGCCAAATCGACAAACAGCTGAGAACCTAAATAGTATGTTAATATATCTAAAACCACAAGATGTACTCGGTGCTCCATATTGTATTTTTCTGCGTTCTCTTAAAACTTGCGTTGACCATTGTTAGAAATTAAAATCAATGTTTAATAGCATAATTTAGTCTAAAATATATCGTCAGTTTAAAAGCTGTTTCATTGTGAAAAAACCCGGAAGTTCTCATAAAATCTCAATGCCAAGCTTTTATTCTGAAAATCCTTCATATCCGGTTAGTAGTTAGTAGTTAGCATGTGGCTAATATTACGTTTTCTGAATGTAAAGTGAAAATGACATGGAGTGTTGCACACCAAAACCTACGGACTTTAACACTACATCTATAGACGTCGAGATATTATTACTGCTGAATATTAAATGAAGGTACAGTTGATCGTAGAGTGTTTTCACATACGTGAGTAGCTATGACGTCAGAGGGAGTTACCGTAAATGAGAACTGTGCCGTAAAGGTGTTTCTAGGATTTCTAAACTAACTATTACAGCTGTTTATAAAGTATTAAATAAAAAGTCATGAAAGAGATAAGGAGGAGAAAAGGCTTAAGGAAGTAAGCAAGGAATACAAAATGTCGAAATCCTCTGTTTCACGCGATGTCGAACATTGAAGACGAGGAGGGCGGTCCCCCTATCTGCACCGCGGGAGAGAACGAGAAAAGTATAAAGGTGATCGGAAAAGACGACACAGCCTCTTGTCTTCGCTGCAGCCTCCCGTGAGACATCACCGGCTTTGTCTCTTCCTTACCTATGCTTGTTCTTTAACCACGTTACTTAATTAAAGTACCAATTTGAACCTTTTCAGAGACTCCATTAGTCTCATTATTTTAAGTTTCTTTCCTGGGAGCGAGAAGATCACGATTCATCAATACCATATTTGGAAGTTCAACTTCCTTCAACCTCCAGCTGGGTGTTATTGGGGCCGCAACCCAGGTGTGGGCGGGGCAGGTGAAGAACCAGGAGGTGACGCGGAGAGGAGTCTCGAGTACCCGGATGTCAGCTCCGCAGGACGGCCACCGGAGAACCGGAGCAGGTTCACAGAGACGAGGAAACACGCTTACAGGTGAGAGAAAGTGGAGAGAGAGGAGCGGTGTTGGAGCTGTTCGGACGGGTTGCACGGAGCACCCTCAGCCCCTCAGCCTGAAGCAGGAAGCGCTTCCTCCATCTCACTGCTTCCTCCATCTAACTGCTTCAGCTAACCCGTGAATTCACTGGTTCATTTCACCACTGTAGGGCAAGACATTTAACAACACTAATAAGTAGAAGAAAGGTGTTGAACTATTATATTTGTACAGAGTAAATAAGAGTACTTCTCCCACCACCGTGTAAACATTTACTGTTTAAGGTCGTACTTGATACCTGATCGCATCTCTCACTTCCTCAGTTCACCCGTGAACTCATTGGTTCACTTCATCAGCGTCACTAAAGATATTCAACTTAGAACACCAATAAGCAGGGTGGGTTACTTTAACCTGTCTAACCCCATCGACCCGCCCCCGGGCGGAAAAACGCATCATCTGCAGGAAACAGCGTCTGAGGGCTTCTTAATATTTAATAAACTATGAATGTTTTATATCCATGTAATGGGAAGAAACTCAGCTAACTGATGATATGAACCATTTTTAGCAAAAAGAAACACAAGACTAACGCTGAGCCTCTGAATCTGCCCTGAGCGAAAAGATCTTAATGCCGTTATTACAGAACCTATACCGATCGATATACTTATTGGATCTGCACAAACAAGCTTAAATAACATTCTGAGAGTCCACAGAACTATAAGGATCATCACTGAGCGATCAGAACTCGTGACAGGGGAAGCAAATACAGACAACACACGACGTAGCTTTAGGTAGCAAAACACGAAGATATGCTCACCTTTAGCTGTTATTCTGATCAAAAGTCGTGTTCAATGGCATTAAAACGAGAAAAAACGCGGCTGAAGGTTAATCCAGAGGTTAATCCAATGTGTCTGTCTCTTTGAAAAAATTATTGATAATCCATAATTCAATTTTATGTAAAAATCGGAGAATAAAAAGTAGCTGCTAATGGTAGCCACCAGAGGTTAGCGTAGCATCCGGTTTTTCTACGCGTCACTCTCACTCCTTATTTGGTAACCTGTGTGTGAATGTGGAACTTTCCCCTCGATTCCATTGGCTCTAGCGGTTAAAAAGAGATGTCAATTATCAAAATCGAGCAAGGGGGGCCAGAGATAGGTCAAATCCACCCAAATGACCCCAGAAGTGGTTTCTTTTGGCTAAACCTCTCTAAAAAGGTGAAATGTCACTTGTTTTGCATCAATCTTGATACAGGGTACTTATTATATGTTGTACTTTGGATTCCTAAAGCTTTTAGTCTACTAACCCATCATCCAAGGGTAGTTTTCACTATCTGTAAAAAATAATTTTTGGACGGACACTATAATTTACAGTTTTTTACTATGTAAAATCTGAATTTTCTTTAAAATAAAAAACATCTATATTGATTCTGACTTTTCTACATCCAACTCACAGGTTTATCATTACTTTGAGAAAAAAGATTATTAATTTAACCCTTTTAGAAGGGAAGATATGGTCATTTGTTCTGGGAATGTCATTTTCGAGCCTGAGACCTGAAAAACAGGCTCGGGGCTTAACAGGTTAAGAAGTAATTCGTAACTAGTCAAATAGTAATACCTCACCTGACTGGCAGAGAACCAACTGCCCCCTCCCTAAATACACATGGTGGTATTTAAATACATAGGGTGGTATATAAATACACATGGTGATGATATATAAATATATAGTATATTAATGGTTTTTAATGGCATAAATGGCTTCTGTATTGAACAGGTGGGAAAGGTATAACCCCGTGAAGGAAGTTAAGAGGTACAAGGTGAGGAGGATGGTGTGTGTGTGTGTGTGTGTGTGTGTGTGTGTGTGTGTGTGTGTGTCAGATTTCAGTAGTTATCAGCCACACCAACCTAAAGCCCCTCCTCTTAGTGGGGTTTAAGTGTGCCCTGTGGTGCTCTGATGTTCCCACACACACACAGACACACTCCCCCACACTCCCCCACACACACACACACACACACACACACACACACACACACACACACACACACACACACACACACACACACACACACACACACACACACACACACACACACACACACACACACACACACACACACACACACACACACACACACACACACACACACACACACACACACACACACACACACACACACACACACACACACACACACACACACACCACACACACACACACACACACACACACTACCACACACACACACACACACCACACACACACACACACACACTTAGTGGGCAGATCTCAGATAAGGATTCTAAAACTCATGATAGTATTAATAACAATTTATAATAATATATATTTAAAATATATTGATAAAAGTTATATATGTATTAACATCTATCTATACAGGAGATATCACACACACCGTAATACAACATCCAACATGAGGAGCCAACTATGACAGTTAGACGAGTTTAAAATATTTAAAATGAAATAAAAATAATTAATTTTACAAAATCTATGCTTTTATTAATTTTAATTTAATTTCCATTTTTTCCTTCATACACAGTTTTAAATAGTTATCATAATAATATCACTAATAACAATGATTATACAAACTATTACTAGGAATGAAGTAATAAACCTAGAATGAAGTGGAATCAAACACTGCACACTATCCATATTACATATATCCTGTATATGTGACCATACTCAGGCTACTATACAAACACAGGGACTTCCAGTTGTGTATTAAACCACAACGACTGTGAATATTCAAGTGAAAGAGGGTCTTACAGCAGCCAGAAGTTGACCTCCAGTCCTCCAGGGTCACGTTGGCTTCCAGGCTGCAGGCCTTGGCGTAAGCCTCCAAAAAGTGGCAGTCGACCCCATCCACTGACGGGTATCTGCACAGAGTGTGTGTGCAGGCGCTGATGTACGGCTCTGGGTCGGTGTGCTCGTGACAGGCGGAGAAGGGAGGCTGCCTCATGAGATTACAGCTGTTCAGAGGGAAGAGTATTCCGTGTTACATTGGTTGATCTTGCAGAAACAACGCTGCTTATATGACATGACAAGACGAGGGTGTTCATGGCTCAGCTCTTACTGGTCGGTGCAGCGGTTGCAGTTGATGGCGCTGTCGACTGAGTCCTGGTATTGAATCTCACAGCTAGAGGGAGACAAAGATCACATTACATCTGAACCCTAATCCACATTATGACAAATAGGTCATATCAGTCGGACTGAGCGGTACCCAGGGAGGCTGATAGAGGACTTCTCTGCAGTCGGGGTGGTGGTCCAGCTGGAGTTGGAGGGGCTGCCACACAAACCCTCTACAGCTTCAGGAAGTCCTGGTGGATGTGAGGGTAGAATTAAAGCTGTCATTCAGAAATAAATATGTAATATTCAGTTTGGAAGTACTGTTCTGTACCTGTCACATGTGCGCTGTTGCCATCAAAGAAGAGAGTCATGTTGGAGGACGGGAACTTAGCAGTGACTCCAGTCTGGTCCTTGGAGAGCTCCACGCCGTGCATCAGCTGAGCTGTGCTGCTGAGCACCAGGGCTTCACCACCAACCTACACACACCCACACACACACACACACACACACACACACACACACACACACACACACACACACACACACACACACACACACACACACACACACACACACACACACACACACACACACACACACACACACACACACACACACACACACACACACACACACACACACACACACACACCACACACACACACACACACACACACACACACACACACACACACACACACACACACACACACACACACACACACACACACACACACACACACACACAGAGGGTTTGTGATACACCACCACAAAGTAACTCCTAGCAGGAAATGATCAGCATTGCTTGAGCAAACACCCCCATAACTACAACGTGCTAACGTACCCGGACTCTTCCTCCTTGCTCCAGATACATGGTCACACCTGGCAGCGACAGGATCAGGTGGTCCAGAAGAGGAACATCTGTACGCCGGCGCTCCCTGAAAGCGGCCATGAGGTTGAAGCTGGCGCTGCCTTCAGGCTCCATCAGACTGTAGGCACAGCGATCCTGGACAGAGTGCACTGCTCCGTGGAAACCGATCACCGTGGAGCCCGTCACCGTGCACACCACCGGGGCCTTAGGAACCTCAGCGCACCTGATGGACATTCAATTCAACATTCTATTCAAAGGTTTCATTGTCATATGACATTCTTCTGACCTGAGCTCCTCCAACGATGCAACATATATAATAAAAAAATAAAAATAAAAAGTAATGCAAAAAGTCTGTATACATGTAAATGGAATATGATATTGCTGCATTGGAGCTGTGCTCTCGGTGCTCTTCTTCAGATCCAGGTTGAACTGTTCCCACTAGGATTCAGAGGCATTCACCGTTGCTTTAGTGACAGTCAGTAATTCACTGCTGACTGTCACTAAAGCAACAGATGCAGATTTCCCCAGTGATTCATATTTTGTTCAGTTTTAATGTACAATGTTTGACGTTAACTGCCAAACGTTTCCCTGTATCATATGGATGATGTTAGCATAGCCAGTCTGAAGAAGCAATAACCAGATTAAGAGCCAACAAACTAAATTAAACTTATTTAAAATATATAACACATGATATGAACATTAGATGGTTACGGCGTTTTAATTATTCACCATAAATGCTTTGTATGAGTACATGTTGCTATCATTGAGTCATTTTCCGTTTTCTACCGGCGCTCTTTCAATAGGATTTCACTTGTGATCTGATATGAAAACTTGTGTAGCCTACAGTATGTAGTGATCACACCTGAAAGCTGGTATGAAAACAACAGGAGAACGGGTCGTGCTGCTCCTCAAAACGGGCCGTGAGAGCGAACGTATCTCTACGGCTCTAGTGATCTGACCCAGCCTCCACACAGATCTGGTTCTTGGTTCCAGTTCAGCAGTGCTCTGGTTCCTAACACCAACCAGTTTTGCTCATGGAAACAATGAAAGGACTGGTGAGCTATCGGGCACTAGCTCTGAACTGACCCTGGAACTGCTTTGGTGGAAAGGGGTAATAGAAATAGGAACAGATTCATCAATAACTGCAATAATCCTCAGGTGGATAATATCCTCACTCTCTCATGGAGGGTTCGATCACATGGGACACTTTATTCAAATCAGTCAGACCTTTATTCCTGATATAAAGAGCACATATTTACGTGTTGTCCGCTTGGCAAACCTCCTCGGGCCCACATGCAGTGACATTAGAGAGGACTGCAGACAGAGAACAGACTCCAGTAGAGCAGGGCCCTAAGTTGGGCATCTCTGAACCCGGCATTACAGCGCCACCTTGGAGGAGAATGGAGGTAATGATATTACACTTCAGTAACTACAGGCAGAATTTAAGATAGGGAAACAACAGACATGTTTTAATATCACATTTAACTTAGAGGATCCCTTTCTTTGGGAACCCCCAGACCAGCTTACCTGAGCCTCTGCATCCACTCAGGTCTCGAAGAGTAGATGTTCCTGCAGGAGGCTCCCAGGTATCCATCACTGTGCCACCGACTGTTGTAGAAATGTTCTAGTAAAGGATTAAACAGAATGTATTTGTATGCATATTATTTATTTAACAGGGACATTGCACACTAAGAACCATCTCTGTAAATGTGCCAGAGTTAGCCAAGAGGCTCTTTTACAGCTGTAGTCCCTGGACAGATGTTTGAACCTTAAAAACACATTTAAAATAACAAGTAAATACAATGAGTGAAAACAAAGGTAACCTCAACACTGTACACATGAATGAAAGTGTTCTATAGATGCCACTTCTGATATATTTCCTCCGATGTTAGGACATGAAGTAACAGTGAGAGCAGTGGTGAGCTCCTTCATTATTCCAGATTGATATTTCTAATGAACTCCTTTGTCCACTTGAGGGCAGGAAGGAGCAGAACCACCAGCCCCTGGTGCTGTGAGTCCAGCCTGCCCCCGTTAGCTCTGCATGCTAGCAGCTACATGTGTCACTGATAAGAACTCTCTTTGTCTTCAGACACATGATGCTGAGTGACTTCTGCTTCCTGAAACTCTAAGGCTGTGGATGACATTATTTCTGACACCTATCTCTGTTTAGAAGTGAAAATAAGAAGAGAGTTTTCAAAGGAGAGGCTTAGAGGAGCAAACAGACTGCACTTGATCTTCTCCATTCACCTATCCATGCTGAACTGAAAGCTGGTTCTGTATTCATATGAATGATGTCTGATAGTGATACAAAGGAATAATGGATCACACACAGCCTCAGTTCTCATTTCTCAGGGTGGTTAGGGTACAGAAGTCTTCTCAGGGATCAGTTCTCATTCAGAGTGAGTGTGAGGAAGGCTGGAAGACAGCAGCTTTCTAACAGAAAGCATTTAGGATATGAGTTTCCCTGGCACACAGAAACAAACAGGACAACATTGCATTGGTATCGGGACCTGACAAATGGTAACTCTAAACATCGGTGAGGCTGAAGGGTTAGGGTTAGGTAACAGCCTCATGTCATACTTACTAAACTATCAGAAAACGGATGGCCAGCAGCATGATGTGACCCGCAAGCAGCTTGCAAACCAAAATTGGAGAATTCCCAATCCATCTGAAAGCAGGAACAGAGAGAGAAATATTAGGAAATGCTTCCAACATTTTACAAATAAACTTTGATTTGAAGTTGTCTTTGCCACACAATGTCTTTGAAATGTTCATTTTGTACAAACAGCTGGACAGCCAGTCAGTGTGTAACAGGGATCGGATCAGGACTCACATTCTGTGTAGCACCAGTGAAGAACTTGAGATCAACGAGACCCTGTGCCTGGGTTTTGATGTTAACAAGAGAAGAGTGAGGGGGAAATGATCCAGGTTGTATACTGTATTTCACTTTGTCTGAAGCCACCCCGTCGTTGGTCACCACACAGTCAATGTCGTCCTCAGATGGGTCATTTTTTAAACAAACTTCAGTCTTATTGCCCATCTTCACCTGCAAAAACAAAAAAAGGAACTACAATATGAAGGCTTTCGCTCCAGAACAGCATCGTTTCATCTCCTCAAATGTCTGAGCTGCAAGGTGTGCTTTGAGCTACGGAGAAAAAGGATAGGATCAATTATGAGATCAAAACATTTCTCTCACTTTGGAAAAAACCTTTCTACAAGCCACTGTCCAACAAGTCTTTATGTCTCCTTTCATACAGAGACACATGTGGAATCAAAGAGACGCGTCCAGCTGCTCCAAACCACTTCCTGTTGGCTCTAGTAATGATCTGTCCCCACTCCATTGAACTGATCTGATCAGTGCCTGACCCCATAGACCCCATAGACCCCAGAGACCCCAGAGACCCCATAGACCGCATAGACCCCAGAGACCCCATAGACCCCAGAGACCCCATAGACCGCATAGACCCCATAGACCCCAGAGACCCCAGAGACCCCATAGACCGCATAGACCCCATAGACCCCAGAGACCTCCATAGACCCCATAGACCCCCATAGACCCCATAGACCCCCATAGATCCCATAGACCCCAGAGGGAAATGTTACGCTCACTTTCCAGCTCCGGACCAGACTCACAGTGATGCATTCTGGGACCAAGCCTGTCTCAGTGCGTCTGATATTGAATAATATGAGGGGAAACTTTTATAATACCCAAAATAACAGCTGGCACAAAAAGCACACACTTTAAACTTTGTGTGTAATACTCAATTCATTCTCTGCCTTTAGCAACATGTCATTATTCATTTGCTCCCATATTTACAGGCTGACACGCTGAAAGGTAACAAACCGCTTACATCTATATATAAATAAGATCAAGACAAACACACTAGGGACTGATTCTGAGGACTGTGAGTTAGTACATATTAAACAGTGAGTTAGTACATATTAAACAGTGAGTTAGTACATATTAAACAGTGAGTTAGTACATATTAAACAGTGAGTTAGTACATATTAAACAGTGAGTTAGTACATATTAAACAGTGAGTTAGTACATATTAAACAGTGAGTTATAACATATTAAACAGTGAGTTAGTACATATTAAACAGTGAGTTAGTACATATTAAACAGTGAGTTAGTACATATTAAACAGTGAGTTAGTACTATTAAAACAGTGAGTTAGTACTATTAAACAGTGAGTTAGTACATATTAAACAGTGAGTTAGTACATATTAAACAGTGAGTTAGTAACATATTAAACAGTGAGTTAGTACATATTAAACAGTGAGTTAGTACATATTAAACAGTGAGTTAGTACATATTAAACAGTGAGTTAGTACATATTAAACAGTGAGTTTAGTACATATTAAACATGTGAGTTAGTACATATTAAACAGTGAGTTAGTACATATTAAACAGTGAGTTAGTACATATAAACCGTGAGTTAGTACATATTAAACAGTGAGTTAGTACATATTAAACTGAGTTAGTGAGTTATAACATATTAAACAGTGAGTTAGTACATATTAAACAGTGAGTTAGTACATATTAAACAGTGAGTTAGTACATATTAAACAGTGAGTTAGTACATATTAAACAGTGAGTTAGTACATATTAAACAGTGAGTTAGTACATATTAAACAGTGAGTTAGTAACATATTAAACAGTGAGTTAGTACATATTAAACAGTGAGTTAGTACATATTAAACTGTGAGTTAGTACATATTAAACTGTGAGTTAGTACATATTAAACTGTGAGTTAGTACATATTAAACTGTGAGTTAGTACATATTAAACTGTGAGTTAGTACATATTAAACAGTGAGTTATAACATATTAAACAGTGAGTTAGTACATATTAAACAGTGAGTTATAACATATTAAACAGTGAGTTAGTACATATTAAACAGTGAGTTATAACATATTAAACAGTGAGTTAGTACATATTAAACAGTGAGTTAGTACATATTAAACAGTGAGTTAGTACATATTAAACAGTGAGTTATAACATATTAAACTGTGAGTTAGTACATATTAAACAGTGAGTTAGTACATATTAAACAGTGAGTTAGTACATATTAAACAGTGAGTTATAACATATTAAACAGTGAGTTATAACATATTAAACTATGAGTTAGTACATATTAAACTGTGAGTTAGTACATATTAAACTGTGAGTTAGTACATATTAAACTGTGAGTTAGTACATATTAAACAGTGAGTTAGTACATATTAAACAGTGAGTTAGTACATATTAAACAGTGAGTTAGTACATATTAAACAGTGAGTTATAACATATTAAACAGTGAGTTAGTACATATTAAACAGTGAGTTAGTACATATTAAACAGTGAGTTATAACATATTAAACTGTGAGTTAGTACATATTAAACTGTGAGTTAGTACATATTAAACAGTGAGTTATAACATATTAAACAGTGAGTTAGTACATATTAAACAGTGAGTTAGTACATATTAAACAGTGAGTTATAACATATTAAACAGTGAGTTAGTACATATTAAACTGTGAGTTAGTACATATTAAACAGTGAGTTATAACATATTAAACAGTGAGTTAGTACATATTAAACAGTGAGTTAGTACATATTAAACAGTGAGTTATAACATATTAAACAGTGAGTTAGTACATATTAAACAGTGAGTTAGTACATATTAAACTGTGAGTTAGTACATATTAAACTGTGAGTTAGTACATATTAAACAGTGAGTTAGTACATATTAAACAGTGAGTTAGTACATATTAAACAGTGAGTTAGTACATATTAAACAGTGAGTTAGTACATATTAAACAGTGAGTTAGTACATATTAAACAGTGAGTTAGTACATATTAAACTGTGAGTTAGTACATATTAAACTGTGAGTTAGTACATATTAAACAGTGAGTTAGTACATATTAAACAGTGAGTTAGTACATATTAAACAGTGAGTTAGTACATATTAAACAGTGAGTTAGTAACAATATTAAACAGTGAGTTAGTACATATTAAACAGTGAGTTAGTACATATTAAACTGTGAGTTAGTACATATTAAACTGTGAGTTAGTACATATTAAACAGTGAGTTAGTACATATTAAACAGTGAGTTAGTACATATTAAACAGTGAGTTAGTACATATTAAACAGTGAGTTATAACATATTAAACAGTGAGTTAGTACATATTAAACAGTGAGTTATAACATATTAAACAGTGAGTTAGTACATATTAAACAGTGAGTTAGTACAATAATTAAACAGTGAGTTAGTACATATTAAACAGTGAGTTATAACATATTCAAACAGTGAGGTTAGTACATATTAAAACAGTGAGTTATAACATATTAAACAGTGAGTTAGTACATATTAAACAGTGAGTTATAACATATTAAACAGTGAGTTATAACATATTAAACAGTGAGTTAGTACATATTAAACAGTGAGTTAGTACATATTAAACAGTGAGTTAGTACATATTAAACAGTGAGTTAGTACATATTAAACAGTGAGTTATAACATATTAAACAGTGAGTTAGTACATATTAAACAGTGAGTTAGTACATATTAAACTGTGAGTTAGTACATATTAAACAGTGAGTTAGTACATATTAAACAGTGAGTTAGTACATATTAAACAGTGAGTTATAACATATTAAACAGTGAGTTAGTACATATTAAACTGTGAGTTAGTACATATTAAACAGTGAGTTAGTACATATTAAACAGTGAGTTAGTACATATTAAACAGTGAGTTATAACATATTAACAGTGAGTTAGTACATATTAAACAGTGAGTTATAACATATTAAACAGTGAGTTAGTACATATTAAACAGTGAGTTAGTACATATTAAACAGTGAGTTATAACATATTAAACAGTGAGTTAGTACATATTAAACAGTGAGTTATAACATATTAAACAGTGAGTTAGTACATATTAAACAGTGAGTTAGTACATATTAAACTGTGAGTTAGTACATATTAAACAGTGAGTTAGTACATATTAAACTGTGAGTTAGTACATATTAAACAGTGAGTTAGTACATATTAACAGTGAGTTAGTACATATTAAACTGTGAGTTAGTACATATTAAACTGTGAGTTAGTACATATTAAAACTGTGAGTTAGTACATATTAAACAGTGAGTTAGTACATATTAAACAGTGAGTTAGTACATATTAAACTGTGAGTTAGTACATATTAAACTGTGAGTTAGTACATATTAAACAGTGAGTTAGTACATATTAAACAGTGAGTTAGTACATATTAAACAGTGAGTTATGTGTAATATCTGTAATATCTATACCTTATCTAAACCACAGATATACCTTTAATATGTGTAGTATGTGTAATATGTGTAGTATGTGTAGTACGTGTAGTACGTGTAGTACGTGTAATATGTGTAGTATGTGTAGTATGTGTGTTTTGGCAGAGCCAGAGAAATCTAAATCTGGCTCCAGTCCAGCAGGTGGAGACAGGGAGCCTAGGGTCTGTGCTTCCACTGAGGAGGTGGCTCAAAGGAAGAGTGTGCCACTCCTAGGTTGCGTTCGAATACCCCAAAAAAACAGCTCCTAAGTTCTAACCCTATCGTCTATTCCTTGACCTCGGAGTGGAACGTCACGGGGTTAAGGGAGAGTGGATAGGAGAATTCAAAAGGATTTAGGAGAAGAGACTGCGGTACTTTAGAGAATCCGACTGCACTTTCACTATCCGACGTGTTTATGATGCGCCAGCAGAGGTCATAAATGTGCGCCTGCTGCGGTGGGGAAACTATGGAAACTACAGTTTTCTATACAGCGGACTACAACAGGGATGTTTAATAAGAACGAGGGACTACTGTAAACTCATCTAGAGACTCTGCACCGTGCTCTGATGCTGTTGTTTTATGCTTTATGAACGGGGACAACAGAGAAACATATTCTTCATGACCAAAGTTGGAATTGAAATAAAAAAGGAAAGTGAAACTTATGCTCGTCACCCTCTCCCTCCGGTCCACATTAATACAAATGATCCCAATACGTATGATTGTGTGAACTATGAAAAGATCTTAAAATAAATACAAATGTATTTATTATAAACGTTAGTCCTTAACATCTATCACTGTGTATATCACCATTCAAACATCTTTTTAAAAGTTGAACAAACCCCACACAGCTTAGTAAAGACTGTGAAATGTTGACTTTATTTGATCATTTCAGTCAAAACTAACGTTCACATTTCCCCTTTTGATTATAATACTGATGAACGTTCAAAACAAAGCACTTTGGCAACTTACCACATACGTTTTGAACCGTAACTTTCATGATATCATTTCTCGTTCATAATCGATTGTTTCCGTGAACGACCGGACATTCCCTCGGCTTAAATGCCGCGGCCGCAAGGCATTGTGGGGCAGCATTTTCTCCTCTCATGTCGGTTAGGGAGGTCCAGTGGTTCCTAGGCTAAAGGAGGTTATAAAGGAAGTTTGAAACCTCCTTTCCTTTTAATTTAGAGAATTCGAACGGCACTTATCATGGCTGCCACTGAGGGACTTCCGGGTCATTTCACTCCGTTAGGAAGGTTCCTAAGCTAAATGGACTATTCGACCGCAACCCTAGTTAAGGAGCTTAATGCAACACACCTGGGAAGGCACACTCTCAGCAGAGAAGCAAACAATTCACTGGGAGAGGAGAAAGACTCAAGGATTCAACCAAAGACGCTGCTGGTGATATATTTTGTAAATGTATTTTTCTGTTGGAACCATGTTTTATTAAGATGAATTATTATTTCTAGTTTATGAAGTTAAGCTAAAACATAAAATGCTGGATTATAATTTACTTTGTTGAGATGCAATTATTTTTGTTTAAGTGTTAAGTTTAATTATAACTTGAGATGAAGTGAATGAAAGTATGTTTTGTGTTTAAGGTTTTCAACCTGAATGAAGCATCAGAAGGCTATCAAGAGGCTAAATGAAGCAGAAATAATTCTGCAATAACTCAAAATAAAGAGGAATGATGCAAATCTGAGTTGTCCCATGTGTCCTTTTGGAGGGAATCGGGCCATTTTCAAGTTTAGGCAGGAGTCAATCAGGAAGACAAGATCATAACTTGACAATGTGTAATATGTGTAGTACGTGTAGTACGTGTAGTATGTGTAATAATACCAGTCATCAACAGTCAGTGTGTGTGCTGGATGATCACAGGAAACACAGGCAGGGGTTCATTGTACTCACGTGTAACCATGTGTATGTTTTTCCATAGAAAGTGATGGGAACGTCGCTGATGTTGATGTTTCCACCAGGAGCATTCAGAGTGACCTCCTGAGAGGCAGAGAGCTCCATCTGGCTGGCAGCAACTGCAGGAGTTCCAGGAGAAACACATCCATCAAGAACAACCTGAACACTCATCGTTCCCTGAAGTCTCTCCTCTGACTTGAAGTGACACTCATCAGTGCAATGAGTGAATAATGATATACTTATGTATTCTGTAAAGCATGTGCTCCTTCAGGGTGAATGTATACAGGGTATCTGGGTTCTGTTTCATTCATAAATACAAGTGGTTGAAGGCTAACCCCCTCATTAACTGAAGCCATCAAAATGTTGAATAAGAGCTACCCGTTCACATTTATATTGATTTCATGGATGAGCTCATGTTTTAAAAGTCTATCATTCAAACATTATCTTTGTTTATTTGCACAAAGAAGACAGTAGAGTAGTGCGGGGCTATTACACACTCGCAGTGACTCTATGCACAGAGGACTTGACTTTGAAATGCATTCATAATGCCTTTCAAACACATGTTGTTTGTCACAGTGAAGCCTGCGATGCTGCTTACCTGCCAGCAGGAGGAGCAGCTTCATGACTCTGCACAGAGGAAGAGGCACAAACACCGGGTTAACGCACGATAACACACATTAACAGCGTACACAATGAAGGGTCCTCGGCAGGAAGTGGTTCATACACTTCCTGAAGATTCAAAACAATGTTCTCTAAACCCGTCAAATGCTCCCTGACTGATTCCCTGATGTCACCAGTTTAGTGATGCAAAGAGGCTGTGAGCAAAACTGAGACATTGAGATAAGAAGACGTACTGGTGGTTTTTAACTGAACACATATCTGGAAATCATTTCCCTCAGCTTCACTATTGTCATCCAATGAACACACTTTCACACGTTATGTAAAGAACGGGCCAACTCTGTCAGGGGCAGCACTGTGCACGAGTAACTTCAGGAGTAATGCCAATTCCACCGTGATGTGGAGATGTAACTTTCTTTCTGTGTCGTTAGCGTTAATAGTTATACAATCAGTGTGTTTCTGTTTCAATGCTTTACAAATGCACACACTTGTTACAAGAGCACACCATATTTATATCCTATTGATAATGCTCTCAAAGTGCTTCAGATGAATGAACACTTTTAGATTTATAAAATATAACAATCCACAAGTGATGTGTGACATCATGTTTCAGAGAGTTAGGCTGAAACCTTTAATCATGTATTCACAATAATCATATGGAGGTACCTACTTAAATCATTGTCTTACTCCTGCATGACATGTTTAAAGTGCATTTTGTTCACTTATTGAACCTAGCAATAAAGCCAACTGTTTGGTATATGTTCAAGGTCTCCTGTTATACTATTTTTAGGCATATATTATAGGTTTCAGAGATATAAAAAACATGTCTCTGAAGTGCTTTGCTCCAAAGCCCAAACAGATCATTGCAGCCTCATCCCCCTCTATTTCAGGCCTGTGACTAAAGAGCTGATTCTGGGTCAGTAGCTTCCAACGTACCCGAGCTGCTGCTGGCCACGCCCCTTTGTGAGTCTCCTGACACACCGGGGCACCTGGTCCTGGTCCTGGAGGTCTGGGGCAGCCGTTGCTTTGCTCAAGGTCCTTGTCCTGCAGGTGCAGCTCTGATGTGGCGCTGTGTCTCGCTCTGTCTGATTTTATACTGTTTCTGCTCGTCCAGCCTCTAAAGACTGACACAAACATTCCTGAAAACTTCTCAGTCTGGTTATTCATGTATTTAACATTGTTTCCTGTGTTTATCAGGCTTGTGTGTGTGTGTGTGTGTGTGTGTGTGTGTGTGTGTGTGTGTGTGTGTGTGTGTGTGTGTGTGTGTGTGTGTGTGTGTGTGTGTGTGTGTGTGTGTGTGTGTGTGTGTGTGTGAGAGAGACATCGCGTCTGATTCAAGCAGTTAATAAAATAATATCCAGCAGTTTGCAGAGCAGTCATTGGCTGAGATCAGTCCGGCCGTGCGCCACGACTCTTTGAAACATCCCTGTAGCTGGAAATACATCCACAGAGGAACCATCAGTGGACCCTCTGTTATAGCTCCTCCAGAGAGCCTCCTCTTTCCTCTCCTCTCTCCTCTCTCCTCTCTCCTCTCTCCTCTCTCAATCAATCAATCAATGTTTATTTATATAGCCCAATATCACAAATGTTACATTTGTCTCAGTGGACTTCACAGTTTGTACCGAATATCAGTATGACAATACGACACCCTCTGTCCTTAGACCCTCACATCGTACAAGGAAGAACTTCCAAAAAAGGAAAAACCCCACAGTTTAAAGGGGAACATGGGAGAAACCTCAGGGAGAGCAACAGAGGAGGGATCCCTCTCCCAGGACGGACAGACGTGCAATAGATGCCGTGTGTAAATTGAAGAGATAATACATTTTACAGCGTAGGATGATGAGAGTCAGGCAGGACCGCAGAGACAGGCCCAGCCACGGCTCGAAGTCCAGGACTCAAATCCAGAACTCAGGATAGAGGATCCAGGACACAGGACCGCGGCAACAGGATCAGCCTCGACTCAGGATCCCGGCGTAGATATAAGGCGCATTCACACCAAGTACTTTTCCCACAGTAGTTCATGAGAACTTTAGTTCATGAGAGTTCTTTTAGTTCTGATGAACTAAAGCAGATCGCGTTCACACCAAAATGAGTTCTTGGGGGTGGATTAGGCAAATGAGCCACTGACGTCACTTCTTCTTCTTCTGCTTTGGGTTTACTGGCAGGCCGCAAACAACTTCACGGCGAGTACAGTAGGTGGCGGTATGCACCTTAAAGTTGCAATTCGCCAAAAAACCGAGAGAAGAAGAAGAAAAACTTCTGCTTCCACTGGATGCTTCTGTTTACCTTCCGACCTCAGACACGGTATGGAGTTGACGTTTTGGTGCTCGTGTTATACAGTTTCGTAACTGAGTTATTTAAGCCAATAACTCAGCCACAAATAAAAATACAGATCGACCATTCAAATGCAATAGAAATGCTGAGTCGGAGGCGAAGGCGGTTAAGAAGCCTTAACAAAAGGATTGGACCACGAAAAGCACACGCTATGGACATGTTTCGCCGTAGGACAACTGGGCATGATGACCGTTATCACGCCCAAAGAACAGCAATGGTACGTTCATTAAATCACATTAATACTATCTAATGTAGGATTTATGGAGTTATGTAGGGCTAATTTGTGTCTTTGTATGTGTTCCAGATATGCGAATACTACGGAACGCGTCGTGTCCCGCGCTCTCTCTGGGTGAACAATAGAACATCGGCCTGGTGGGAGAAGGTGGTGCCAACGTACACCAATGTGCGGTGGATCAAAGTGGATCTTTTAAACTCCTCTGTATTCGCCTGGAAGCAACGTTGGGGAGACGCAACCTAAAAAAATCGCCACGGGGCAAGACACGCGTACAGCCCTTGAGGCATCTGAACAGCATGGAAATTGTAAATTGACAATAAAGCTGATCTTTTGTACAGTGCATTTGGTTCTCTCTTTTATTTACCACAGTCAACAGACACAATTACAATAGTGCAGACACACCTTAGTGCAAAGATTAAATGTCAGTATCAAAACAGTACTCATACTGTATATTTGTATATTAATATGAGTATATTATTATGTTAAATGTGTGTTAAAGACAATGGGATGAGGTTGAAAGCTCTTTAAAAAGCTTTTATATACCATCTTTACTGTGATAAATACAGCATACACACCTGAAGAACTACGTTACACACACACAGGTTAGTCTGTGTACCGCTGCACTGCTGCTGGTTTAAACAAAGACAGTCATGATGCTAGTGCCGTGCATGTAGGTTCTCTTTTATTTATCAGCAGCAGATCAATAAGTGTCAGTAGTATCAAAACAATATAATAACAGTGGCAATATATATATATATATATATATATATAATAACAATAGGTAGGCTCAGCAGCAGACACACCTTAGTGCAAAGTGAAGTGTCAGTATTAATAACAGTGGCATATATATATAATCACAATAATACAAAATGAACTGTCCCAGGTGTAGGCAATTTGGGGTGAAGTGTCTTGCCCAGGGACACAACGACATCCTGACTGCAGTGGGGTTTGAACCTGTCCTCCCCTGATCCGAACACCAACGCACCAGACCACTGCACCACACGCCTCCCAACAAGTCATTGTACAGTTTATCAACGACGACAAGTTTTTCTTCATTTTTGTATTGAAGGCCTGTTGGATTTAATCAGCTCGCTTAGCACTGCCAGAAGCCCAGCCTGAAAGGTATTTTGTTGCTCCAGCTCGATTCCTGGGCCTTGTGTGAATGCAGCAGCCGCTCGTCGTGCATCTCCTTGGCACGCAGGTCCTCATTCTCCTTGCTGACCATGGCACGGCGATCCATCGCCATGATGGTGTCAAGGAAGCTGTCATCGCGTGCCCACTTTCCTAAGGAGAAATAAGCAAGATACAAGATCAGTTTAATCGCAACAACGAGACAACATTGTCCAACATTGGACATGGTGCAGGCAGGGACAGTGTACAAAATGCAGGTGTAAAGTAGAAGATAAGATCGGATCAAATAATATCAAATAAAAAATAAATATCAAAGTGCCCTTATTTATTGTTTTGTGCTTAATGTATGCTTGAACTTTGTTTTATAGGGATTAGTGGACATCAGTTAGATGTGTAACCTTCTTTCAAGGCCGGAGTAGTTACAGTGTAAGTGGATTGACATCTAACATAACATGGCTGAGTACAATTATAACAATCAATAAAAAAAAGGAAAAATAAATTGAATTTCAATTACATTTCTACTTAAATGTGCAAAAATATTAGAACATCAGTCTTTGTGGCATGCAGGTAATCAACTGTTTAAGCTTGTACCATTAACATGTAGAATGAATGTTGCAAATGACTTGAAATTATAGCAACTAGCAGCGACGTGCAGTCAGTGGAGGCAGGGGAGGCAGAGCCTCACCTGTCATACTCCAATGTAACGGAAAAACAACTAAAGAAAAACGAAATAGTAATAATAATAAAATGTCTCCACTGATCTGTGTTGGAAGTGTGATTTATGTATGATTCTAATTGCTTTTTATAGTCAAAATCAGCAAATTTGCCGAGCTCCGCTACGGGAGCGATGACAAGTGAGGCAGGGGCGTGCTCTGCCTCTCGTAAGCCCACAGTAACTTGCTGGAGCGCGGGCACTAATTTAGCTACTGTAATTCTACGCAGAGATGGTAGACGTAACAACAAACTAGACTTTTGAAACTACAGGAAGATAAGGAGGACTTTTACAAAAAAGTAATAGAGATTGTTGTCCAGAAGGATAGCATGGACTTATATTCATCTTCAAGTCAAGGTAAGACCACATTTGTAATGAAAATGGGATCTTACTAAGAAAGAACAATCCAATATTTAGATTTTGGGTATCCTTTTGTTGAACGGTCTGTTTAAAATGAATCGAAGCATCAGACTAAAAAAGCTTTTGAAAATAACCGAATATTTCGATTAAGGTCAAAATATAATATTTGTAAATCTGACTCAGTGAGTCAGTGCCTCACCAGCCATGAACCTCACCGCACGTCACTGGCAACTAGGTAGCATTATGTCCAGCTAGCATGCTAATTGCTAACGTTATATTATCGTTTTATCCCGGAGGGGAAAACTAGTTTCTAATCCTGAGAGAAACACCTCGCCTGAAACACAGGATTAGTGCCATGAGTTAGTGAAGCAAATTACAGAACATTGCACACTTATTCACAAGTCAAAACGTGTTCATAGCAGCTGAGAATAGCTAGCTAGCTAGATGTTGTTAGCCAGCTTGGACCTATTATAGCAAGTTCTAGCATGGCTAGCTCGATCTACTGAGCAAATAAAAGTACATCTAAGACCAGTATTGTGCAGATTAAAACAGTGCAGTGCATGTATTTTATTTTACCTTCGTAGTCGTCCCGACATGACTTTGCCAGGTCTGCTAACTTTGCTGAGCCACGGA